TCTATGCGGGCCATGACGCAGGGCATAACAGGCGTGGCACTGTCTCGACACCATACGGGGTTCGCAGGGGGTGGCCCCCGAGCGCGGCGTCTAAGCTCGGAGAGCGCGGGCGCCGAGGGCCGGGTTTGGGGCGCGCAGTTTGGATTCCATTCTGGCAGTGGAACGGCCGGCGCGCTGTTCGTCGCGCGGCGGCCGATCAAGGCAGGCACGGCCTCTGGGAAGTTGCTTCTTCTCGCTTTCGACTGGGCTCAAGTATTCGTCGGCGCGTCGCCAGTATCGCCGCCTGCAGGCGTCCATCCGCTTCGGCCCCCCTGAACACTTCGCCGCCGCTGTGAAGGGAATCTGCAACAACGGGAACTTCCGCGTCCGAAGCGCTGGCTCAACCGCCGAATCTTGGCCGCAGGCGTTCGGCATATCGCGGGGATGTCCTTTGTCATGTTTTGATCTCGACCGTGACGACGGCCCTCCTGCGTCGCGCGAAGCGAGGCTTTGCTGGTCGCGGGCTCTTGCAATCCAGCTCAAATCCAGTCAGCGATCTCATATTCACCGACGACGCCTTTGCCGTCGGGGCAGAAGAGTACGTCTACCAGCCGATGGAATGCGTGCGCAAAGCCAGGAGGACTACGGATATTGTAGGTCTAGTGGGGTAAACTCGAGATCTGATCCGTGGGATGCGAGACCCATATCCGACCAGACGAGTCAACAATCCCGCAGGGGGTCAATCTGATCTACCTGGGCGGGCTACTGATCGCCGACGGCGGCGGCGGCCCTGAGCTGAGCAGAAGGATCGGCAGAGCATGCGCGCAGTTCCATAATTCGTGCAAGGTTCGGAAGCGTGCTTTGTATCTGACCTGAAGTATTGCCTGCGCACTCTGTGGCTCAACAAAGTAGAACTCCGCAAGCAAGATGGAGCGCGCTGCCTCGGCAAGGTGGCCGGCGAAACGCGCTCGTTCGGAAACCGCGTTTCGAATGATGCGCCGTCCTGGCCCGGTGCAGCTGTCAGAAAGTAAGCAGCCAGTTAGCACGCCGGCAGACAGTGCTGCTGAGGAAGGCGGCCCAGATGCCGGACGACAGCGCTGTTCGACGCTGAATTTTCGCCCCTGGGTCATTCTCGCTTTCTTAAGCCTGGGGTGTCGCGGGACACGCGGCCGGCCGAAAAACACGTGGACGCGCACTATGCATGCCATGGCTTGCAAGGCAGCCGGCGATGCTGACATATTGAATTAATTATGGCAGGGGGGCGCCAGTGTTTGGCGTCATGCGGCGCACAATTTCTGCACCAATTTCTGCACGCAGATAGCGTTGTGCTTCTAGTTTGTGTTCAGTACTCTCAACGCACCTTCGACGTGCATGGCGCTCTCTCTCTCTCTCTCTCTCTCTCTCTCTCTCTATATATATATATATATCTATCTCTCTCTATATATATGGGGCCGTCTTGGGCTCCTCCTTAGCGCCATAGGAGTCATCTTGAAGCCAGGCGGGCTTCGTCTTGAGCTATCTCGAGGTAACATTGGTTCAATGCTGGGCCACGTCTTCTTAGAGCCATATCCATGGCAGTCGCAGCCAAAATCAACGCACTCGCACGTGCATTTCCAGGAATTGGGGGAACCTGTGTGGGGACATCTGGATTCTATGATTGCGCATCTAGCCGCCAACTGTACCATATTGGGGTCACTTGGGTCCTCGTCGAAGTTATTTTGAAGCTAAGATCGTGGCCGTTTCAAGCCGTCCTGCTGCTACCTTGATATCTGGTGCCCTGCAGCCCATCCCGCCACTTCTTCGGTTGTGGGTTAGATGTCCCTTGGATGCCTGTGAGAATCTATTGGGGGACCTCTCGGAAGCCTCTTGATGTCGGTTTTGGGGGTGTTTGGGGTTGTCTCGGGCGCCTCCTGGGTGCCTAGTTTGAGCCTCTCGGGGCTTCTTGGTGGCCTCTTGGGGCCTCTTGGGGGCGCCTCGGGGGCCTATGATGGAATCTTGGGGCCATCTTTGGGCGGAGGGTTCGCGATTTCAGTTCGTGTTCCCTCGCTTTGCAATCGTCCCACTCTGACCACTGGCCTGGGAGTCTCTGTCTGGTCATACTCTTCTTTCTTTTCTGAACTCCGCTCATGCTGATGTCTGAAATGTTCGGTCGGGCAACGGAGGGACCGCACTGGCAGCGCGATGGTAATGGAAGGCGGCTTTATCTGGCAGCGGCGTCAGCACGCCATCCTGCGTCTCTCGGACGCACACCAGTCATGTTCAGCGTCCCCGTCGCGCTGCAGAGGCCCGAGCCAGAACTGTCTCGGGAGGACGCGTACTGCAAGCATGTGAAACGTAGGTGGCGCGCCTCTTGGGCTTGGGGTTCTCTGCAACAGTTCTCGGTGAGTCCGTTAAGCATGGCCACGCTGCAAGCGGAACGGGAGAACACGATATGTCGTGAAACCCGGGCAACACAAAGACGGGCTCCTGGGGGGAGCTCGGACAGAAAATGTATGTATAAGGAAGCTTGCACGCACGGCCTCTGGGGCCATCTGGCGTAAATAAGTTCTAGGAAGGCAGGCGAAGGGCTGTGAATTGCACTCTTGGGCCCTCGTGGGTCTTTTTGGGGGGCCTCTTGAGGGCTCTTGGGCCGTTCCTGGGCGATCTTAGGCGCCTTTTGGGCTGTGCTAGGCGCTCTGAAGACCAAGAAGGCGGTGGCGCTACAACCATGCAGTGGCCAGTGGATTCTGGCGATGTTGGTGTCTAGGGCCGCTCTCCAGAGCCTCCAGGACGACCCGCGAGGCCCGAGCGGTCCTCGGGGCCATCTTGTGCTCTGCTGGATCTGCATGTGCAGCGCGCTCCTGGCTCCGGAAGACGTCGCGCGGAGAACCCGCGGGAGCGCCCAGGAGTGCACGGGAACGCCCAGAGCTCCGGGCTGTGGCACCAGGGGTGGACCTAAATTGTGTTTTGGCGTTTTGGCAATTTCGCGTGCCGTTTTCGGTTCGATCTCGTTTTGTGGTAAAGGCGGATTGAAGACAGAACGAGGGAACAATTGAAAACTAAGACGAAAACGAGAAGCACCGTTTGAGGTTCAGCCCTGTGTGGCACCCTCGATGTTTGCACGGTGCTCGGTGCAGAATTCGCATGGGGCACAGGGGGCTCTCCAGCTCGTGCCTCCAGGGGGGCGCGGTGGCGGCCGCCGCGCACGCGCGCCCGCGCACGCACGTGCACACGCGATCACACGTGCGCGCGTGTGCGCACAGATATGGGTACGATTTGTATTACATTGTGTTCAGCTGTTTACATTCTAGTATCACATATTGCACACAATCGTATCGTACTGTGTTGTACTGGATTGTATTGTGTTGTGGTATCTTATAGCGTGGTGCATTATTTCTTGTTATCAGATATTGTAGTGTACTGAGTTGTGTGATATGGTGCTGTTTTTGGTTTCCTACCGTTTAATGTTTAATGCGCTATATTGTAGTATTTCATAACATGTTTTGAAATGTTCTGACATGGCGATATGTGCTGTGATATGTTGTGGCATGGTCTGCTATGTTATCGGATGATATAGTCTGATACATAACATTATGTTAAGGTGTGGTGTGATATTTTTCTATGCTGTTTTCTGCGATGCATGCTATATCTGTTACTTATGTATGTGTATATGTGTATTTACTTAACAGCGAAGACTGATAGGTTTCTAGTGGGGTCGAAAGTAAGAGAGCATCATGACTCCTCAGGGGGGTCGGGGCGGGACCCGGGGCGGGACCCGGCGCGGCTGCCGTCGAAGCCCAAATCGCTTGGGACATCCTGCTCTTGGCGCTGCTAGAACTCCATTCCCGGCGTGCATTTTGAATGCCCGGAGCCAACTGTAGGCCACTTCGTGCTCTTCGACTTCCCAGAACTCCATTCCCGGCGTACATTTTGGATGCCCAGAGCCAACTGTAGGCCACTTCGTGGTCTTCGAGTTCCCAGAACTCCACTCCCGGGCCACAGTTTGGATGCCCGGAGCCACCTGTAGGCCACTTCGTGCTCTTCGAGTTCCCAGAACTCCATTCCCGGGCCACATTTTGAATGCCCGGAGCCAACTGTAGGCCTTTTCGTGCTCTTCAAGTTCCCAGAACTCATTCCTGGGCATGATTTTGAATGCCCGGAGCCAAGTGTAGGCCACCTCGTGTTCGTCTAGTTCCCAGAACTCCATTCCTGGGCCACATTTTGAATGCTGAGGCAGGCTGATGCTGCGGCCGAGGCAGGCTGAGGCTGAGGCAGGCTGAGGCTGAGGCCGAGGCTGAAGGCAGACTGAGGCTGAGGCTGAAGCAGACTGAGGCTGAGGCTGAGGCAGGCTGAGGCTGAGGCTGAGGCAGGCTGATGCTGAGGCAGGCTGAGGCTGAGGCTGAGGCTGATGCAGGCTGAGGCTGAGGCAGGCTGAGGCTGAGGCCGAGGCTGAAGGCAGACTGAGGCTGAGGCTGAAGCAGGCTGAGGCTGAGGCTGAGGCAGGCTGAGGCTGAGGCAGGCTGAGGCTGAGGCTGAGGCAGGCTGAGGCTGAGGCTGTGACTGCGACTGCCGTTGCCACTGCGACTGTCATCGCGAATGCGACTACGACTGCGAGAACAGCAGAATTCTACAATTGGATTCTCATCTGGATCTGAAGGGGGATGCTTCCAGATATGCTCCTACACATCGCTGTTAGGTTGCTTTGCCGGGATAATTGTGTATATCCTATGCGTGCATGTCTCTCCTCGTCCCGTCACGGGTCCAGGCCGTCGATGTTAGATCGCTTCCGTGGGTTGTTGGGCTCCAGAATTTGCACCAAGGCAGTGCGTATGGATTGTCTTCTCCCTGCCGCCCAGTACGCTTGGCAGGGATCGCTCGCCTATCCCTGGGGCGGCAACCTGCAGAGGTGCCCGTCCGTTCACGTTCCCGCCTGTCCCGCCATGCCGAGCTGTGTGTGCCCGCCGTGCCCAGGCTGGCCGGCGCGCCCAGGGGGCCCCCCGGCTCCCGCCAGGCCCTTGGCGGGCGGCGGGAGCAGCGGCGAGCTGCAGCAGCCCTCCTCCTTCTGGTTCGTGGTGCTGGTGAACGAGCTCCTCCCGCTGGGCCTGGCGCTGTCCTACGGCATCTGGTCGTTGAACCGAGTTGGGTTGACGTGCCGCCGTCGCAATGCTGGCCGTGCAGAACGTGGGGCCAGCGGAGGCAGCGCCTCATGGGATGCTCCAGTGGGCATGGGCACGCTACGAAGGAGAGCCATTGTGGCACCAGCGCATGATCTTGGGGCGACGGGTCCGGACACCACTGGAGAGAGTCAGTGAGTGGATGGTGCTCATCTGCACGGTGGACACCGGCATCTATGAGGAGGACTACTCGTGCCAGGGACGGGACATCATCGCGGTGAGGTTCACATCCGATCGTGCAACCTTCCCCGCTGGAGTTGGGGCCGCCAACTCGTACAGGTTCAGACGGAACCTCACTGTGGTGGAGATGCAGCAGATCGACCAGACCGCGCTGGACTCCTGCACCGCCGCCCTGGTGGCCGACCACCAACGCCTGCGGCTGCCCGCGCCGGGGAGGCCGTTCCTCGTGCCGCTGACCTTCGGCCCTGCAGGGGACGGTGGCCCTGGTGCGGGCGCCGCCCCGGCCGCGGCCGCCGCCGCGCCCCTCGTGGCCGCCGCGCTGGCCGCCCCAGTGGCGGTGCCCGCCGGCGCCCTGGCGGCGCTTCCCCCCGCGGGCGGAGCAGTCCCAGGCGGCGCGGCCGCGGCTGAGCTGGGGGCCGCGGCCCCGGCTGCGGTGGCAGCGGTGTGGGTGCTGGTCGAGTCGACCACGGCGGGCAAGCGCGGGGCGGTGGTGACCCCGCCCGCCGGCTCGGACCTCCGCGGGGCCGTCGGCTTGATGCCCCAGGCAGACGGGGCGCGGGTGGCCATCCGATCGATCTCGGAGCCCGCGCAGACCTACGCAGGACGGGAGGCCGCCTCAGACGCCAGCCTGATGAGCATCGTCGCGAACCCAGCGGTTCCAGGCGGCAGGCTCCTGAGGCAGTGGCGCGATGCGGTGGCCAGCTTCACCGAGGAGTCGTTCGTGGACTGGTATATCCCTGGCCCCCGCACTTGCATCTGGTGCTGCAAGTTCATAGACCGACGCCAGGGCGGGCCGCTCGACCATTTCAGGTTCTGGCGCTCCACCCTGGGGCTGTCGACTGAGGACTACGGTGTCGGCGACTACGAGGCGAGTATGCGGGCCATCTACACCTTCGCCTGCTGGGGCGGTCTCGACTTGCCGAACCTGGCGGGGGCAGAGCAGATGTTCAGGAAGTGCCAGATGTATGAGTACGTGTACGTCATGGACCGTGACCCTCACCACAGCGCGCCCTCCGGTGGAGACGGAGGCGGCGAGGGGAACGACAAGAAGAATAACCGAGGCCGTGAGCGAGGCGGCGGACGCCATGGCCTGCTGAGCTTCGGGTTCATCGACGAGAGCGCCGTCTTCTCGGGTCTCAGTCGAGACCGCGGGGAGAGCATGATCTGCCCTCTGCTCCTCGAGCACGTGGCAAAGGAGGTGGAGAGGGATGCTTCGGTGCTGAAGCAGGTTCGCAAGGCCCGCGAGGAGCAGCGGGCCTTGCGATCATGACGAGTTCACGGCCACGCGCTCCGCTACCCCCCGGCGGTGCGCGCGTCTTCAGAGGGGGGCCCAGCGGCGGTGGCCCGCCGTCCGCTGGTGACTTGTACTCATCGGGCATGCGTGCTGGGCGTCAGCGTGATCTATTTCCACTGCCGGTGCCTGGTCAACAGCATCGGGCAGCTTCGGAGGCGCATGGCATCGCTTGTTCACGTTCGGTAGCTCGCCGGGGTCCCCGCAAGGGCCATGCCAATTCGGTAGAGGGCGAGATCATTCAGACTCTCAACGAGCTGTACCTTGGCCAGCCCTCGCACCCCGTCGGCCATCCTCAGTCCATCACTGCGGGCCAGCAACGGGCCTTGGACAATGTGCGCGACGCAGTCCGACGGTTCGGTGCTCCCCCAGAGGGGTTGACTGGCTCAGGAGCCCTTGAGGAGCTCCGAGTTCTCAGCGACTATGCTGGCGAGAGCGCCACCGTCGCTCCGCTCGACTTTGATAATATCAACAGCCTCTCTCTCCCGGACGAGGGCTTCAAGCCAGTGCCGCTTGACGCGCTGGGGGGAGATGATGGCCGCAGGATAGTCGAGCGGCTTCATGATATGTGTTGTCCCAGTCTGAGGGTCGAGCTCGGATCGAGTCCGAGGCCCCCCGGAAGCTCTGCGCCGACCCAGCGCTGAGGAACCCCAAGCTGTATGTCCAGCTGCTGCGGATCCTCGAGCGTCGGAATCTTCTCGATTTTATCGTTCACAAGAAGTCGGGTAAGCTGCGGCTCATCCTGGATGGCAGGCACGCATCCCTGCACTTCCAGGTCCCCGACAAGGTTGCCCTCGCGTCGGGGGCGACCTTCGCCAGCCTCTACGTGGACGGGGGCAAGCCCATCCTGGTGGCGGAGGTCGACCTGGCAGATGCGTTCTACACGATGCTGCTGCCGCCGAAGTTCAGGAAGTACTTCGCGCTGCCTGGCTGCCGCGCGGGGTTGCTGGGCCTCGAGAGCACCGCGGACGGGCGGCTTCTGGCCGGGACCGACCTGGTGTACCCGTGCTTCAGGTGCCCCCCTTATGGGCTGTTCCTTCATCCTGTGGATCTGCCAGACAATGCTGGAGGGGATGGCCCTGAAGGTGCCCCAGCTGTCCCTCGCGAGCCGTGTCGTGGACCGCCGGCCTGTGCCGCAGGTGTCCTGGGGGGTGATTCACGCCGAGTACGTGGATAATGCGATCAGCCTCTCGACCAGCTTGGAGACGGCCGCCGCCGCCGCCTCGGCCGTGGACTCGAACCTTCGTGCGGCGGGACTTCCTACCCACGGCGTTGAGTGCAGTTTTGGCGCCGTGGCGTTGGGGTGGCAGTTCGACGAGAAGCTCCCGATCATCGGGCTGAACCCCGCGTTGCGGTGGAAGCTGAGGCTGGCTTTCTTGGAGCTGTGCCGGAGGGGATATGCCTCGGGCAAGACGATCTCACGCGTGGTGTCCCACTTCACCTCGCGAGGCCTGATTCGCCGCGAGCTTCTTTCTGCCCTCAACTCGCTGTACGCTTTTTCTGCCCAGTATGGAGGCCGCACGGCGCGGCTGTGGCCCTCCTGCCTCCGCGAGCTTCGCTGGCGCGCCAGCCTTGTCGTGTTCTGTTTTCGAGACGCTGGTGTCGCGTTCGACAGCGCGCTCACGATGTTGGACTCATCGTGGTGGGGAGTTGGTGCCACTCAGAAAAAGTCGTCAGCCCAGGTGGCTCTTGAGCTCTCCAAGTACAGTAAGAGATGGAGACTCAGCACTCATCAGGAGTCCGAGGTGTCGCATAGGTCCCACGCCTTCAAGTCGGCGACCTCCGCCAGCCCCTTCATCCCAGAGTCGGTCATCAGCCTCGACTGCTCCGAGAACCCGAAGGCCCCGATCAAGGAGCCCCTGGAGGTGCCCGTAGAAGAGCCTGTCAAGGAGTCCGTGGTGGAGGGGGTGCACGTGGAGGAGGAGAGGTTCAATGACATCGAGGAGGATGAGGAGTTCCCCGGAATCCCTTACGACGTTTGTGCGAGTGGCTGGGTCCTGGTGGTGTCCCATCGCTGGAGTCGTTCAGAGCATCAGGTTGTCTTGGAGGCCCGTGGTATGGTCGTGGCCGTCCGTCATGTCCTTCGACGCATCTCATCGTTCAACCGCCGCCATCTCTGCTTGGGCGACTGTCTGGGGGCCATCCTGGCCGCCACCAAGGGGCGCTCATCGCGACGGGAGATGGGCCGCGTGTGCTGGCAGCTGGCGGCCCTTTCGCTGGCTAGCGGTGCGGCTTTCTTCTGGCGTTGGGTCCCCTCGGAGAGGAACTCGGCCGATCGTGCGTCCAGGAACCTGCCGGGCGTGGGTTATGCTGCAGCGGCGGCAGACCCCTGCTGCCTCGGCGCTGCCGCTGGCCGCCCCAGTCCTGGGAGCGATCACGGAGGGCCTGCTGGTGAGAGCTGGCCAGACATCGGGCCCCCGCCCGGCCTCGAAGAGGAGGCGTGCTGGCCCTCCGACTGGGCGAGCCTCCTCGACGGCAGCCGCGAGCTCAGCGAGGCCCGGGGAGCTGGCCGCCGAGCCGCTGGACCGCCCGGGGCGGGCAAGCCGCCGGCAGGCGAGACATCCCCAGGGCGTGAGCTGGCGGGGTCGGAACCAACGTTCGTTCCTCGAGCTGAAGGCCGTTGGGGACAGGACCGCTGTGGACTACCAGGCCCGATACCAAGCTTTCCTGACTTGGTCGGCGAACACGGGTCTGTCGGTGGCGACCGTCACGGACCTTGAGGAGGCGCTCCTGCAGTACTTCAACCAGCAGTACTTCGACGGGCACGACCCACCGGACGGGCCGAAGCTGGTGGCGGCGGTGGCGCACTTCCGGCTGGACCTGGCGCCGAAGCTTGCCAACCTGCCGAGGGTGTTGAGGGCGCTGAAGGGTTGGAAGATTCTGGCGCTTCCCCGCGCCCGCCTGCCCCTGCCGTGGCCAGTCGTGACCCTGGTGGCCGACTGGATGGCGGCGAAAGGCTTCCTGGCCGCCGCCCGAGCGACCGTGCTGACCTTCGTCCTCTACATGCGGCTGTCGGAGACGCTGTCGCTGCGGGTCAAGTCCGTCGTGCGGCCGGTCAGGGCGGGTCCGCGGCATCTGAGCAAGTACTCGATCCTGCTGTTCCCGGCGGAGCTCGAGGCGAGGTCGAAGACCACGGACTACGACATCAGCATCTTGTTGGACAACCCAGAGTTCAGCTGGGTCGACCAGATGCTGGATCGCCTCGTGGAGGGACGTGCTATCGACGCGCCCCTGTCCCCCCTGGACATGAGGTCGTGGGTGCGGGCGTTCCAGCAGGCGGGCGTCGCCCTCGGGCTGGACGCCCTCGGCCCCCCGGTGCTGTACCAACTGCGCCACGGGGGGGCCAGCCACGAGATGCTGACGAACGCCAGGGAGTTCGGCGACATCAAGAAGCGCGGGCGTTGGGAGGCCGACAGGAGCCTCAAGCGATACGCGAAAGGTGGTCGAGTTCAAGAGCAGCTTCAACGTCTGCGGCCCGTTCTACAGTCTCAGGCCCTCGGTTGCGCTGTGACTATTGGAGGCACCCTATGCAGAACCTGAGCTCCTGGGCCCACCAGTCCGACTCGAAGGTGTACCTGGAGATCTTCAGTGGCTCTGGGAACTGGTCCCGGGCGTTGCGGCGAAGCCTGGCCTCTCGCCTGGCGCCGCGGGTCTTCGAGCTGGACGTGGACCACGAGCCGGTCCTCGGTGACCTCAGTCGGCGGCGAGCCCAGCGCATAGTGCGCGGGTGGCTCCGTGGTGGCCTGCTGCAGGGCGTTTGGCTTGGCATGCCCTGCAGCTCGTGGTCACGGGCACGGAACTGGCCTAACGGGCCACCTGCCCTGCGGGACGCCACCCACGTGCTCGGCCTGCCCAACCTGTCGTCGAGTGAGTCTCTCAAGGTCGAGGCGGGTTACCGGCTGTCGCAAATCTCATTCAGCCTTTTCCTGGAGTGTGCCAGGCGAGGAGTCCCCGCAGCAATCGAGAACCCGTCCACTTCGTGGGTCTGGCAGACTCGCTGGGCCCAGCATGCAGCGCGTCAACCAGGGGTTAAGACTGTAGAGTTTTTGACTTTTGCGCCTTCGGCACCGCCTGGAGGAAGAGGACTCGGGTGATATATGTGCATCTGAATTTCCACGCGATCAGCAAATGCAAGTGTACAGGGCGTGGCCTCTGTTCGTTCTCACACCGTCCCCACCGTGCTCCGGAAGGCAAGACGCCCTCCGGAGCCTTCTGGACAAAGATTGCCGAGCCATACCCACCCACTCTGTCCAGTGCCCTTGCCAAAGCCTATCGTGAAACTAGAATGTCATCCACGCACGAAGCCTTGGTGCGATTAGCGGCCTAGTGGTCAGTTAGATCCTCGGAGAGATGTTTCGAGGTCGCTTCTGTTTGTCCTGGCCTCCCGCGTCTCAGTGTGACGCGGATGGATGTGCACTCTGGCTGGACAATGT